CTGCGAATTCTTGGTAATATTTTTTTGTTGTTGTATCACATCGCACTATATTGTTTATCCCTTTGTCGTTGTGTTGGGGTCTCATTGGGGTATATCCTTTTATTCTGACAAACACAAACAAGGGAGTAAAGCATAATATAGGCAAAATCTAATACTTTTAAAATGTAGTTCAATCTCAACGTTTGACTGCACTACATTACCCCCAAGTTATGTAATAACACAAAATTTCCAATATTAAAAATTAGTCTATAACAGGTTGTCTTGTTTCTGATTTTAATTTCCCAACTTTATGCCGCTTCATTGAATAAACAGTATTGAAACCATAATAAAACAAAGATATTAGTATCTTGTTGTAACGTTGAAGCAATGAGCCATGTTTCAATTGAACCAAATACTTAATGTATTTTCCATTAAATAATTTAATAGTTCTTGGAGTTTTAATTCCCAGAGTGTGGTATTAGATTTAAGAAATGAAATTAAAAGAACATTTTTCAATTCATTCATGCAATTTTAACGCGTCGTTTATATTTTTGTATGATTGAAACGAGAAGAACAATCTTATCTTCATGGTAAAGGTCAGGTCAATGTTTTTTTCTAGCTTGAAAAACGACATCATGTAAACTAATCCGAGGTAATCAAATTGCTATAACTTTTTTTTAACTATACATTAAGAGGGGTGAAGTGAAAGGAGGCCGAACATGACAAGAATGGTTATCGGATACACATTCTGCATGAAGGAATTCCAAGGAGTAGGTTAACGATGTTATAACATTGGCCCCATAAATTTCATGAAATGAAAGTTCAGTGCATGATCTCAAAATTTACAATAAGTTTAGGCAGATTTTAACAGTGCTGGTGATAATTGCGCACCTTGAGGAAAAAAGTAATCTGTATGAATTCTAATAGATTCTGGCAGACGACATGCATAGACCGTCGTATTTTTTCTTGGCATGTATATTTTACTGATATAAATTCATTTTGACACAAGAGTGTGGTCAGTGGGTTTCAAAATCCTTTGTAATAAAAACGAATTCAAGAAATAAGTTAAGCAAACAGAATTAATTTTAAACTTTGGAAGCTACCAACTACATCTGAAGTAAACAATAAATAGCCATACAAAGTTTGTTAACTTTAGAATTTCATATTATATATATATTTTACTGGTACTTGGGTTTGTTGATTTTTATACCAATTTTATAGAGTTAGATTGTTAAGTTTTTTTTCTGAACTAATTTGCTACATTTGTACATACATTTTGTAACTGAATCAGATCGAGATTTAACAGTGGAGGTTTGAACCTTGCAACTTATTTAGGTGCCTGTCCTAACTCCGGATGCTTCTCGTTGGTTGTCTTTATTTATAACCTCTTGATACCTTTTACTTTTTGTCGTTGGGTTGCTGCTGTCACCTTGATTTAAACCCACGTCACCTTTTATTCATACTATATATAGCCATTCTATTTAGGGTTGTCCACCAAAAATAGACGAATTAGATAAATTAAAATCTGGACCTTACATCCATTTATATATAAATTGTTTTGTGTTCAATATTTGCAAGTGTCTTGCAAAAAAGCCCCACAATGAATTGTACAGAAGAGTCTATCTAAATGACAATCAATTAATTATTTAATGCCCTGTAGTCGAAGATTGCAGACACGACTATGTCTATAAATGGACGTCGCAATGTTAAGTTCGACATTGTATTGTTCCTAGTTTGACGTCGCAATTGTATTGTTCCAGTTTGACGTTGCAATGTTTAGTTTGACATTGCAATGATTCTATATTTTGACGTTGCAATGTTACTATATTTTGACGTTGCAATGTTTCTATATTTTGACGTTGCAATGTTTATAGTTTGACATGACAATGTTTGTAGTTTGACATGACATAGCAATACTTAATATCTTTTAGTTGTTATATGCACTGTTTGGTTACTGTTCAGTTGAACATTGCAATATGGTTATCTTTTAGTTGGATAGTGTACTGTTAAATAATAAATGACATTATGATGGAGTTTATCGAAAATATACAACAAACAAGCACTGGTTTGTGGGACAGTTTCCCATAGGTCCTACAAAATGATGGATAGAAACAAAACACATAAATATTGCAAGATATCATTAACACTAATGTCTGTGGGTCAGAATAATATCACTCTAAGGAAACTCATAACCTAGTTGGCACAAGTTTAAAACGTCCATATGGTTTCTCCTATGCTAATTGTATTTTCCGTGTAATTTCTGACAATTCTGCAAAAAATGAAAGGAAAGTTCTTTTTCACCTTCAAACGATATCATTCGAATGTTGTTTAATCATTTCAGAGAAATTTTACTTTCTGTGATATTTTTTTTTCATTGACAGTAAACGAAAACCAAATTATAATTTAATGATTCCCACATCTTGAAAGTTGCAGTTAATTTTTTTCAACTTTCCATCAAAATGAGTAGTTATCATTTTTACCTCATTATGCAGAAACGCTGTCAAAGTTTTTATTCTTATGGGACATGTCGTTAGAGATCACCCCTTTCAACCTACATCATCAATCAGTATACATTGTGTTACTACTTCAGGATCAGTATTAATAGTTACCATACATGTAATATTAGTTAGTATTGTCACGTGGATGAAGCTAAAAAGTGTGGACATTTATGTACATGTGGTATATAAAGGCAATAGTAGTATACCGCTGTACAATAGTCATAAATCATTTAACTGAAACAAATTAGGGTCACAAATAAACCTGAGGAAAACACATCAACTATATGAGGGAAAAAAAACTCGGGACAGCAGAAACACTGATCTGCTTCAAAAACAAACGCCAACGTACATAGAAACGGACTATGTGATAACAACTGCCATATTTCTGACTTGGTACATTTTAAGAAAAAATGATGGTTTGAACCTGGTTTTATGGATCCTGTATCGGCTCTTTTTGATACAAATAAATTTGTTAAAAAAAAAAAAAAAAAAAAAAAAAAAAAAACACTTGTGCATTTAGTTCGAAGATTCTGGTATCCTCTTTTTATTTTGAGCAAACGGAAATATTCAAATAAATGTTAACAAAGCAGTTCAATTTGGTGTCTTCGCAACTCGCGCCAAAGCAATGTCTATTTGTTTAACAACCGGAACCATAATTTCACTCGCTACACTACAATACAGCAATATATACCAAACAAACAGGTATGATATCGGTCTCACCTACAATAGTAGGCTCATTATTTTTCCAGTATTTGCGTCCGTCCGTCCATTCGTTCGTTTTGCGTCATATGTCAGTAGTTTACCATGAATAGTACGAAGTTGACCTCGTCATTTACAAGTTTTTATCATTAAACAATTGTTATCTTGACTTAGTACAGAAGTACCTTGTGTCTCTCATACTGCAAATTATGGCTATAACCAGCATTCTATCGATGTATCAGAGGACACAAATACAGATATACTTCAACTGTAGTTCTAATACTGTACCGAGTACACCATTTTATTTAGTACAGAAGTACCTTGTCTCTTTAGTGCAAATTATGGCTATAACCAGCTCTCTTGTTATATTTACGATCGTTTTATTGTCATATACTATTTTCCCAAACAAAAAATATAAATTTATAAAACAATGAGCATACATTTGTTTGGATTCGGAAGAACAGCTGACATGTATAAAACCAACACATGCTGATTAAGTAAGACTTCCTACCTACCAGGTGTGTTGTTTTTCTAACACCTTTAATTAACTGTTTCAGCTGCTATCTTATTATCATTGCAGCAGTACATACGTATAATTATCACCAACACTGATAAGAATTATTGGTTTAATGATTTTCATTCCCAATTAAACAATGGACGTTCGGTATACTTTCTGGTGAGCTTGGTCAGTCAGTTTAACTTAGGATTTTAATGAAGTGCATTAATGGTTTTAATAAAAATATCCTCTACACTTATTACTCGAAACATAGTCGGATTCTGCTAATCGTAAAAATTCCAGTTTCTCTAAACATAATATTTCTATCAGTATATGTATACAATGACCAAGTTAGATACAAAATGTCTGAATGATACCAAAAAGTCTGAATAATACCCAAAAAGTCTAAATGATACCTAAAAAGTCTGAATGATACCCCAAAAATCGGAATAATACCCCAAAAGTCTGAATAATACCAAAAAAGTCTGAATGATACCTAAAAGTCTGAATGATACCCCAAAAGTCTGAACAATACTCAAAAAGTCTGAATGATACCCAAAAAGTCTGAATGATACCGAAAAAGTCTGAATGTTACAAAAAAATAGTAATAATGCAAGTATATATAAACATTGAAAAATGTTTTTGTATAGATTCTCCACTGCTTCAAGTGTGATACGATATTTATCTACTCGAGACGGTTAAATTTTCAAGTTTAAAACGCGAGGCTCGCCGACAATATTAATCTTTATTTTCGAATGATCTAAACAAACATGTGTTCTTTCTATGTGACGTCATCAGGCATGGTCGCCTTTTTTCATGACGTCACAAAACGAATTTCAGAGAAAAGCAAGAAAATTTGACGTCATAATCGAATTTTGACCAATGAGTACTGAGATCAAACGAACCGCACGTTGATTAAATAAATATATACAACAGGTCAAAGAAAGGATAAGAATTAGAGAAAGATATTTTTTCAACAACTGTTCTGGGATTGTCTTTTGTGAATGTAACCACAGTCGTCATTCTTTATGTGCAGTAAATTCTTTTATAGATCTCACACATATGCTATTCGTTCCTTCATATAATTTGAACAAAATCAAGAATAATTCGAAGCTTAGCGGAAGATTTAAGCCACTCATTTCATCTTCTGCAAAACCCAATAGTTTTTCATACTATTTTTAGTTCTGAGAATCGGTCTGATTGTTGATGATTATTGCTTATTATTAACAATTTTTATAGAATTTGAGTTGAGACCAATAAAACAAATGGTAATTACGTGTAAATAAGATATTTTATTGTTAAATAATTGTCATGTTGTTTTATTTCAGGATTTGTTGATATCCATGGTAATGGTTTCTATGATAGGCAACTAATCTTTGGATATTATTTGTAACAAGATGTCCTCTCCGCCAATCATATAGCACAGACATATATACAATCCGCCAAGAATTTCGACGACTAAATCCAAACAGCTAATTACTAAATTAATTTAAGGGAGCACCGAGTCGAGACGTTTTCTAAACTTAGTCAGTCCGGTCATGTTTCAGGGATTACTTACCATAATATTAGATCTTCGTCTTCTGGGAGTTTGGAATAAAAACGTTGTCATCTACGTTCTTTGTGTAGATATAGCTATTTTACGGAGTGTCACTTCAGATCTTATACAAAAAGCTATACCAACAAAGGTTGTCAAACTTTGCATTTTCATCGAATAAGGCTGTTCCGAGATGTAACGGAATCGCTATTGATACAGTATAATTGTGTTAACATTAGGAGCACATTTTTATTACACGATCTAATTACGAAATATCAGAGTATGATACATTTGTAAGAAAGGCTATGGATTGAGTATGATTTAATTAACACATTTTACACTTCAAACATACCGTCTTGGTTCTTTGAATAAAATAGAGAAGGAACGTATGACTGAATGACCGATCAATGATGACTTAAAACTAACACTTCACAATTAAATTACATCTTTGAAAGAAGAAAATATTGACCGATCTAAGTATTTCAACAGTTGTGTCATGTGTGTCTGCAGGACAATCAGTACATCTTTTAACAAGAAATATCGAAATCATTCTGTGTTATAATAGTACGGAACATATACGCCTTTAGAGTTATTGGGATGTTTTATAATTGGTTATGTATAATTAATCCATAATGCGATGCAAGTTCTAACCATAGGGAAATCAGATCTTCGTAATTAACGATCACTCTTTTAACAGGTAAGCATCTTTTGATTTTCTCAATAATTTAAATGTTTGTTATTCAAGATTACAGTTTTAAAGTGCAAATTTTACGAATTGATTTGCAGATGACGTTGCAACTTTTCAGAGGGAATGTAAACGAATATTATAATTGTTTATTTACAGAGAATTTCTCGAGTATACTGTTACATTTTTATTTTTATAAATTATTTGATTTTGTCCGCTATGCTTTCTTTTAAAGTGAACACATCCAATTCTTTATTTTGACGACTATTCAGACGGAAGGACGCACATAATGAATTAACATTCCAAGAACTTTAACTTTTATTACTTATTTTTTCGAATCTTGAAATTTTGAAAGAATTAAACAACATTTCATTCAAGAAATGTTATGAACCAACAGTACCTTATCATCTACGACATTTATACCATTCTGGAAATATTGTATATATCTCCGGTAAAAATAAAGAAAATATTAGTTATTATCAAAAAACTTGTAATTGGCTTTTAAATACGAACAACATCACACATGTCATTTACGACAGCTTGCCTGTGTTATTTTTTTACATACTCTTCTAATTCATATATTTGGTGAATATTTTGCAATGAAAGTGATGTGACCTGTAAACAGAATGATGGTTTCCAAATTTACCAAAAGTACTGTAACCTTCTTAAATGAAAGGAACTAACATGTCTGAAGCTCATTGTTCACTTTAGTAGTACTGTCATGCCATTGAACTTCACTATCCAATGTGTCACGTAACGGTAAATAGACTAAACTTTTAAGTTAACTAAAAAGTGTTTAAACTAGTCAATAATAGTCCCAGGTTAGGGGGAGGATTCGGCGCCAGCAGACATGTTTAACCCCGCCACATTCTGTATGTGCCTCTCCCAAGTTAGGAGCCTGTAAGTCAGTGTGGTTATCGTTTGTTGCTCTATATTAATTTGCTTTTGTATATTGTTTTGTACTTAAATCAGGCTTTTAGTTTTCTCGTTTTACATTTGTCATTTCGGGGCCTTTTATAGCTTACAATGCGGGATGGATTTTGATCATTGTTAAAGGCCGTACGGTGACCTATAGTTGTTAACTTCTAGTCATTTGGTATCTGATGGAGAGTTGTCTCATTGGCAGTCATTCCACATCTTCTTATTTTTATACTAAGGTTGAAACAGGTTTTACAGAAGTATTTATATCTATCTTTGGAATGGTATGAAGACAGAACTAAAGTTTCCGAGGTCAGACCGATTATATAAATCTTAAACTAGTTTGATAAATTTAACAGTTTTGAAAGTAGCGACTTTCTCTGACAAGTCATGCTTTAGATTTCTGTACGTGTAAGCTAAACACACCTTGGTTTACGTACAGAGATGTTTGTTGTTATAAAAATGTCTTCTTCTGTTGATTAGACAATATATAAGTTTACATTTGATAAAATGTGTGTTTAAGTGTTTGTACGTCTGTTTTTTAGGAGTTAAGTGCTGGTGGTTTTGGTTTTGTTTGTCGTTCTGTTAAATATATATGGTAATTCGTGTTTTCCTTTAATGCCTTATACTGTTGTCGTTCAATTACTAGTATTGAGTTTTTTGGTGTTTTTTTTTTAAGAATTGACATTTACTTATTTATAATTTGTAACAAGAATTAACCATTTTTTTAATTTGTCTTCATTGATATTTTGTTAAAGATCGTGTCTTTCTATTTTCTGAGGCTGCTGTATGAAATCTTCTCCGAAGTAAAGCCACCAATATAAAAGTGATTTCATAGTTGCCACTCGCCCTCTCACTTACGAGGTACATTAATTTTGCTTTTTGGTGTACATATTACAATGTAAAATGTAAGTCTATTCAGGCTTAATAATTGAAGGGAAAATTAAAAAAAATATTATCCGTTTAACAATTTTAAGAATATGGCGTCTCGACTTTTTACATGAACGGTCTTTTCGATTTATTCAAAAGTGTTAATCTTTGCTGCAATCGATTTTCATGATATTCTCTGGAATTGCTGTTAATATATACGCAGATTGGTACGTGAGGAACTTTACTTCGATATATAGCAACATTTTAAAAATAATTTTTACACTAAACTCCTATAGCCGACTGTTTTCGATGCTTGTTTATTATATAGTAGTTTTGTCTTAATCTTTTATTCATTATTACAATTTTCCAAAGAGTATTCTTCTGAATTTATTATCAGTAACGTTTTCGCAGATTAATTCGCATCGATTGGTTATGCACGAAAATTGAAGAGTTATAACTCAGTGTTTTCAGGGCAGCAATTTTTGTACACTAGATTTTTCAATTGGACAAAATCGCAAACGGAGGAGACTTACATCCTTGTTTGTTATAACTTTCACTATAAGATTATTGGCCCTGTTCAAATTTATATCAAGATCTGTTCAAGTTTAAAAAAAAAATGAATGGAACATATTTACTAACTTGATTAACTGTGAAAGTGTTTAATTGATTTTGAATAGTAATTTGTTTAGATCGTATCGATTATTTCTCATTATTGTACTGCATTCTAGATTAATTCGCATCAATAGGTTATGTCCAAATAAAGTCCCCTTTAATTTGTCTTATTGGTATAAATTGAAGTGTTAATCGTTGCAGCATAACTTCGATTTTGATGTTTTTTTTCAAACGTTACTGATTGATTGATTTATTGGTATTGAACGCCGCTTTCAGCTATTTTGCGCGTCTAGTTTTTGGCGAACGTGCCAAACCTTAACCCGAATAATTCAGTCCCTCCCCTTGATCGACTTTCCCACTCGCAAATTAGCCTAAGTAGAATAGCGGAATATAACGACTGAATTATTCGGGTTAGTCCAACATTGAAGAGTTTTATCGGGTTTAATGTTTTATACTGGTTTTTTTTCCCGCTGGTAGCTCGTAATTCGTCCTGTTAAATATTCATATGAAATTTATCTTTTGAATCTTTTGGAGTGGTAAGTAAAATGCAGGGAAATCGTATTTTGATTAGTTGTGCCATGATTTAGTGCAATTTCTTAAAATCACTGAATTGTGCAATAAACAAATACAAACACGTTTGTCTTTTGTCTACTGTTACAAATGTATTATATTGACCTTTAGATGTCTTTTCGTCGTTTTTGGTTGTTTGGTTGCTTTACCATTGACTATATATAATAGCTAGTAGCCCGCATCTCATTTTATTCATAACATTTTTTTAAAACAAAATTTAAATATCTACAAAACAATTAGTCTTTGTCAATACCAAATTTCTTTACAATGTAAATTTATTTGCCTTTTTGAACTATTTTTACTTAATAAGGATATAACTATTAAAATCAATAGTGTGTTTGTTTTGTCAAGTTTCATCAGTGCTTTTTAAAGCATTCATATGAAACAGAATTAAATAATCGGAGTTACATTTTATAACTATATTTGTATTTTTAAACTATCTTCTCGAAATAATCCACATTTGTTTTCAATGTCAGAATCCGTTTTTCTAATCACTATGGCTTTATCCTGTTAAATTTCAGGAACTAAAAATAAGTTTATTGATCATGGTTAATTTCCCTTTTTTATGTTTTGATGCAGTTGGTGGTCGTTTGGAGGTAGGACAATTAGTACATTGTATCCCATCATCATGACATTTTATCCTATGTCTATGAATTAAAAAATCTTAAAAATCTTACAAAATTAACTTTTGCTGAAAAAAAGAGTAACCCAGATACGATTATACGTGATACAATAGGCACATTGATCTAGAGCATGGTATCAAACAAATACCGTCTAATCTGTCTGAATACCAAATACGTGACGTCATCAGACACAGTGGTTCACAACGACGTAAAAAGGGAATAACACGAAATAATTTTAATGTTATAGCTAGACGTACAATAAGACTCAGTTAAATTCTCAATATTTTAAGATTGCATTGATATTATGCCTACTTGAATAGTAACGTTTTATTGATGAGATTCATTTTAAAAAAAGCAATACCACTAAAGTTTATATCAAACCTGGTTTATCTATACACCATTTCTTTAGACCTTTAATTGAAGATGTCAGTTCTTAATAATTTGAAATACATTTTTTGATTGTATAAAAAATATTAAAAATTAGGAAGGATCAAAAGAACGCAGCATATAAACAATTTCTACACACTTTGTTTAATTTGTATATGACCATCAAATACGGAACGTATTATGGTATACCATAGTCAGTCCGTCTATCCGTCTGTCAACACTTCGTACGATAACCCAAATTTGCTTTAACAAATTCTCATATAATTTTAATACGTTAGGATTGACGGAAGAAAGCTCCCTTTCGATCTCGAAATTGTTTGGCTTAGTCGTTCAAGAGTTACGGGACTTTCTTTGTTAGAGTTAATACAATTTTTCACATATCGAGCACTAGCTCTAGTATGTCTAGATTGATTTCCTCATAACTTTACATTATTGTTGGGATTGATTGAAGAAAGCTCAACTTCGATTCTTTAAATTTTCTGGTTTGTTGTTCTAGAGTTATAGAACTTTAATTGTCAGATTTAAGTAAATTTTTCACATGTTGTACCATAACTTGAGTTTGTCTGGATTGATTCACTCAATTGGTGACTTTACGTAATTGTTGGAATTTGTGAATCTAACACATCCGTCGATTGAAAAAAAATCCGATGTCATTCCAGAGTATGGGACTTTGGTGTCATAAATAAAAGGATTTTGTAAATGTCATACACTGTTGTTGGGATTGGTGAATGTAGATTGGCTTTTGATTATAAACATTTTCTGGTTTGTCAGTCCAAAGTAATTGGACTTTTAATATTCATATTTGTTGAAAATTTATCATGACTTCTAAGGTATCCCCATGCATGTTTTTCTACACAGCCATTTTATTTGCTTCTGACTTCATGCCTTCTAAATATCCCCTTTTATTCTTGTAACAATTTCAATATGCACAATTTTCTTTGCTCTAGGCGCAGCTGCTTATTCAAATAGCTATGACAAATTACAGCACACACACAATGAAGATTTAAAGATTATGTAATTTTTATTTCTCAT